ACGTCACAGAATCTAGGGACGCAGCAGACCAGGGGTTCGGGGTACCTGAGGCTATAAATAGAATCTGGGGCTTAGGGTTTAGGGTTTAGGGTTTTTTTTGGGTTTAGGGTTTAGGGTTTAGGGGTAATATATAAGATTCTTGTATGGAAAAATATGATATCATAGTGAAAGATAGACATTAGAAAGCTGAAAGATAGACTTTAGAAAACTGAAATATGCTGATTATAGCAAGAGGCCCTAAGGAACAAGATAGGTAGCAAGTGTTCCGACCCCGAAAGTATACGACGGCCCAAGCACTAACCCTTAAACCACTATTCCTAAAACCTCAGGCCCCCGAATCATATGGGTAGTTCTCTAAATNNGTACGGCATCCTTGTAAACAGGACCCAAAGAGAGACCTTAATTTCGAGAGCTACCCAGGATATGGAGCCCCTTTAAAGGACCCCTTTGTAAGAACACAGGGTGCCTTACGGAAAAAAACCCTAAACCCGACACCCGAAAACCCGAAACCCCAAAAACTCCCCAAACCCTAAACCCTGAACCCCTAAACTCCCTAAACCCTAAGCCCTAAACCCCTAAACCCTAAACCCTAACCCGTAGTCCCTTACGGTACCTTACTTCCAAAACCTCCGACCTCCTGAAGCCATCCGTTGTTCGATGCCTCTTCTTGCGGTCTCTGCCTTTGCCTCGTCCTGAGTGAGGGCTTAGAAACCCTAAACCCTAAACTTCAGTTTAGGGTTTATAGGGGTCTGTGTTTTAGGATTTAAGTTAGTTCAGGGTTTAGGGTTTTGGGTTTAGGGGTTGAGGGTTTAGGGTTAGAAACCCTAAACCTTAAACCCTGATAGGCTTTCGGGTACTGCAAGCAAGCAGGTGAGCGAAGCTCCGGGATTCACGCGGGGAAGGCTTAGGATGTGCAGTAGCAAGGAGACAGACCTTGAAGTCTTTATCCCCAAAAGTTTCAGGTTGAGGGTTTAGGGTTTAAGATTTACGGGTTTTTAGGTTTGAGGTAGTATGGTTTCGGGCTCTCCTAAACTTTTCTGAGCATCTGAGCTCCCCTGGATCTCGATGTGGAAAATCCTCACATCGAAGTTCTTGTCCAGGAACTCCTGTGTTACGAAGGCTGGCACGGTCAGGCTGTCGCCCAGGAAATCCACTGCCGACTCTAGGACCTTCTTCTGGATCTCTGCACGAAGAAAGCCTGGGCTCTTGTTTAGGGAATAGGGTTTAGGGTTTAGGGAATAGGGTTTAGGGTTTAGGGGATTTATAATCTAAGTTACCATGCTAGGGATCTACAGTAAATAACAGGGTCTCCTTATTATAGTAACTTAAATTAAATCCCCTAACAAGAACCCAGAAGCTTGCGTCGAATACTAGGCCCGGCGGAAAGTCCGCCTTCTGGTTCACCAGTGCAGAATAGATTGCGTAGCCACCGACCAGTTCAGAACGCAGGTCATCTGCATTGACATGGATTGCCGATCGGACGAAGCCCATGTGATTTGCCGGCAGCTCTTCTTCAAGTGTGTAGTTTATAAAACTGGTCTTTCCGGCGCCAGTGGCTCCAAGAACAAACACCTGGGTTCTTGCATCTCACTCAACAAGACGTTCAATGAAAACCCTTGAGAAACCAACACCCATGCAATGGACGCTACTTACAAGACCGTATCACCCCAGTTAAAATACCAAACAAAAACCCCAAGTACCTGAGACCGTACCCCCAACATAAACCGCATAAAAGCCTTAGAAAGCCTACAAAATTACCGTACGGTTCAACCCAGGAACAGCCAATGGTTGCCTGCTGCGTTGCGTGTGGCTCAACCTGAGAATCTTCTCTGCCGCAGCATCCAAAATGTCTTGCTGCCTCCTCCTCGGCAATGTCTTTGTTGTTTCTCGTCCGGCGTACAATCTGGTACTGATGGGGTTCTTATTACGGTTGATGATATAAATCCTGCATGACCCATAATAAGGAATATGCCACAATTCCCATAGTTTCGGGTCCCTGAACGTCATGCAGGATTTACATCAACAGTAATTCTTAGTCTCAGTCCTAGGAGGTCTTTCGCTATTTTGGTGCTCTGTGTGGGATCTACTGTGATTGAGTGAGATACAGTATAATACAAGATAAGATCAAGTAACATACTACAACAGACTAAACTTGTAGTACAAGACAACATGTTACAATATAGACTTATATAGTACAACCTACGCATATCAACCTTAACTATATATAATGTCATGTAATACAGCACAGTATAGTGTGCATACTATAGTGAAGGAAAATATGACATAACTGAACAGAACAGGATAGACTGGACAAGAAGAGCATAGAATAGAAAAGAATAGAATCAACAGAATTGAATCAATAGAATAGAACCGACAAGAAGAGAATAGACAAGAAGATAATGGAATAGAAAAGAACAGAATAGAATAGAATAAACAAGGCTAGAATAGACTACAACGTAGTAGCGTATATTGTAGCGTAGTAATGTGTAGTATAGTATGGTATGGTATGTTATGGTTTCACATACTATGTTATAAGCACAAAAAACAGCATATCATGTCAATAACATAAAGCATCACTGCTTAAGAAGCACCCAAGTCTCTGAGCGCAGAGGTCGCATTTTCGAGAGGAGCAGCCTGCTCTTAGAAGCAGCTCACAGTAGGCATCCGAGGCATCAAGAGCCTGAATCAACTGCATCACTTCCTGGCCTGGGCTTGGTTGCGGGCCTGGGGCTTAGGGCTTGAGGGCTTAGGGGTCTAGGGCGGCTGTGGGTTGCGGGTCCTGGCTTCCGTTTTCGTTGTAGTGTGTACAGTGTATATACTGGGTTTGAAAAAACGGGGCTTTACAGGTGTGTAAGGCTTCGGGGTCAAGGCAGGGCGTGTTTGTATACGTGTTCGCATATGTGTTTATGTGTGTGTGTGTGTATTTCTGGAAATACATATGTATATGTACATATGTATATATATATATTATATGTACCTACATGAACAAATGTATCTATACATGTATTTCAATGTATGTTTGTATCTGTATATACATGTATATATATATACATTTATTTATTTATATTTATATGTATTGGGTTTGTGTTGTGGGTCTGGGGCTGGGGCGGCGAGTCCCGGGTTCAAGGCTTGGGATTTCGTGTGTAGGGTTGAGGATTTGCTGTGGCTCACCCCGGTTACCTTTTAGGATCCTTAATGTANNGAGACTATAGGCAGGGTTTAGGGTTAAGAGCTTTAGGTTCAGGGCTTAATTATGGGCTCTGAGTTCAGCGTTAATAGGGTCCGGGCGAAGAACTCTTGAAAGTTCGGGCCCTGTTGCGTGCTAGAGTTTCCCCGCTGATGGAACCCGCAGTCTCAACGTACATGCTAGCACGGGCTTGAATTAGACTGCTGTCGGCAAGTGTTTTCCGTTGTGAGGCACTCTAAAATAATGCTATTTCATTATGGTCAGCGAATAGGCCCCCGCCCCCCCCCCCGTCACCCGAAACTCTGCAAACCTTGAAAACAAGAAGGGTTTCCATAATCTTCAGCCTTCGTAGCTGCTGAAATCAAACGTTATAGGCTCCCACCCCACATGCAACAGCAGTAGAAAGTGCTGACAAATCTCAAACCAACTAACTAGATTGTAGATAGTCGTAAGGGTCCGTCTCGTCTATGCTTTTATAACCTTAAACTGGGCTCTTGTTGAGGAGCATAGTTTAAGCTAAGGATCACAAACGGGATAAATCGCAAACAACATGCGTTCCATACCTGCGGTAACATGCATAGCTTGAGTTCTTTAAAGCCAGTCACGCCCTTATAAAAGACCATATGAAACCGTGCACCCCACCCTTAAAAACACACACACACACGCAAAACCCGTACCACAACAAAAAACATCGTAACCTAGACCCTACACCTAAACCCCAAATTGCCAAACCCTAAGCTTTAAGCTCAAAACCCCTAAACCCTAAACCCTAAACTTTCGACTCTAAACCCCTCCTGGCCCGGCCTTCCGGTCCCTGCAAGGGCGGGCCATTCCAAGCGTCCCAGACGCGAGACGCGAAGGAGAGAAAGGTCGACCCGAAGCGCTCCGAGTGACGTCGGGCCGCGGATGCGTGCAGGAGTAGATATACCAAACCTGTACGAATACGGTTGATGATATAAATCCTGCATTACTTTGAGAACCCTAAACTATGGGAAGTATGGTATAGTCCTTACTATGGGCAATGCAGGATTTAGATCATCAACAGTACTGATACTGATATACGAACACTAATGCGAATACTGATACTGATGCTAAATAACAGGAATACTGATACTGTTCCTAATACTGATACAGCTACAGATACTGACACTCATACTGATACCCGTCGCAGGCTTTGGGTTTAGGTCTGACCCTCCAGGTACCTACTATACAGGGCCCTAAAAGCTCTAGTACCCTATCATAGTAGGTACCTGGGGGGTTAGGCCTACCTGCTAGGAAAAAAAAAAGGAAAAGGATCCTCTTGATGGGCGTTCCTGGCCCAAGGAACTACGGAGTTTCCCCAGCCACAAAAAAGGACAAGGATCCTTCGGCCCTGAACCCCTAAACCCTAAACCCTCCTGAGGGTTTAGGGTTTAGGGTTTAGTGTTTAGTTTTAGGGTTTAGGGTTTAGGGTTTAGGGTTTGTGCCGGTATAAGAGCTTCTTAGTAAGTAGATCTTTGGGGCGCCAAAGTACATACTACACAGCTACTTGGACCCGCTTGGGCTTTGCATTTCGCCGAGAAACAACGGAAATACATGGAAGCAGCCAAAGAGAAGCTGCAGGAAAGGGCCGGGATGTTAGCCTTGAGCCTCCACGACGGAAGATGTCGAGCCCTCAAAGACCCTCCTAAACCCCCCAAAAACCCTAAACGGACCTACGGTTGATGATAAAAACCCTGCATTACCTTAAGGACCCTAAACTATGGGAACTATGGTCTATTCCTTACTACTGGTCCCCTGTTGGTGCTATATCAAAACTGATCATTTTTAATCCTTAGTGGGTTTTATTCGAACAAGGATGTAAAATTGTAGCCAACTAGGATCCAGATTCTGGGTAATGCAGGACTTATATCATCAAGCGTA